TATCGCAAGTGCGGATCGCTCAAATTCCCCTTCGGATCAAGTTAAACATTTTCTTGGTTACTTTAACCTAGGGGCTATTCAAGCCCAGTCGTACCCTCATTCGGGGTCTATCTGCAACGCCTTGGGGCTATATTCCCTCTAAGTTCAAAACAAGTCTCCAAGTCGCCGAGCTCGAGCGAACTCTCACTCAGGAATCATTTTCGAAGGCCTACAAGCCATCTTTATTCTCAAACATCCGAGCAAATCCACCCTCGAGGACTACCACGGGGTCTGAAAAGCTAAGTTTCGTTCTGAAAGTTCGAAGCCTTATTCTCATTCAACTCGAAGTCTGGAGTCCCGATGACCCGAGTTTAACAATCCAACCCGTGGGATCGGTCAATCGATCAAAGAGCCAGAGAAATACTTACGCCCGGGCTCAATATTCGTACCGGTTGGTAGAATCACGCATTCAGATTTTCACATGTGCAGAAAAAGGGAAATAAAGAATAAATAAGAGACAAATTGAAAAAACATCTTTTTCATTAATAAACGATGATTACAATAGCCCACGAGGGGTCCTTACACATGATTACAAAGCCCACAAAGGGTCCTTACATAGAAATAAAAGAAAATACATACAATGAAAGCCAAGAGTCTAATCTATCCTCGGGGATGCATCCTCGGTAGCAGTGTCTTCGAGCATCATCTCCTCGGGGGCTTCATCACGGTCTTCCAAAATGGCATCTCCAAGGGAGAAGATGAAGAAGAGGAAAATGATGCAGAAGAAGTAGAAAAAGATGAAGAAAAAGCCACAGCCTGCCAAAGAGCAAAAGCTTTTACCAGGCCGAGAAAATTACAGCCCGGTGGAAGACTTGGCGGGCGTAGGCCTTACCTGCACGGCTACTTTGAGTCCACTTCTTGGAACATTGTGCCGTGCAGGTTAGTGGCCGGTAGTGCCGCTTCACCCCATGGAAAGCAAAAGGGATGAAGTGCCACCAGGCCGGAGTAGGGAGGTGAGCAGCGGAGTAAAGTCCGAACACCCTCCTAAGCAGCGGTGTAGAGTCCGAATATCTTCCTGAGTGGAAAGAAATCGGTACCCCTATTTCATCGTCTCGAGCCAACGACGACAGCAGTAGCAACAACAACAACAAGTTATTGCGATCCCGTCCGGAGGGAGATAGCTTCGAGAAAGAGGCATGGCATGACTGATGAAGACATTGCCGTACGACCTTATGGCCACGGTTTTCAAACATAAGAAACAAGGATGGATGAGGATGAAAGGAAGAAAAGAGTAGAAGAGCAATGGAACGAAGTTTGGGTTCAAGAAAGCCCCCATTTATAGGAATATGGCAGCATAACCGATGGCAATCAATGCCTTTTTGAGAGACGTATCGACAAGCGCAATCAATATTTTTTGGGAGACGGATCGGCGGCAGCATTATTACTTTGAAAAAATAAACTGACAGTGCAATAAGCGTTCCTTAGAAAGATGCACCGATGGGACGTCTCAGTTATCGCAAAAGCTGATGTCATATACGTGATGTCGTCACAAGAGGCTCGACGAGTTCGGTGTCAGAGCCGTTTCTTATCATTGTTATCTAAGAAACGCGGGGACTATTTGTATGCGGTAAAATCGGAGGGTCCAATTTTCGGCCATTACGGCGCTTCGTAAGCATGTCAGTCAAAGGCTCGAGGCTACGGTCGAGATTTACGCCCGACGGGCTCGAGACAATACAGCTCGACAGCTATGAAGAAAAAAATGGAAGTTCCTAAGGCGTATGACTAGGGCTGACAAAGCCTAGTAGGCTGGTTCAGACCCGTATCCTAGCATTAATTAGCTGTATCAATCTCATATCTTTGTAATAAATGCATTTGTACTATATTGGGATTCCCCCTAATATATAAGGGGGATCATTGTCACTTTGTAAAGGGATCTGATACTCAATATTCAATACAAGAACATTCTCTCTGCTCTCTAACAAACTCTTTTGATCTCACTACTTACATTTATTGCTTATATTCATTGTGTTCTATTTATTGTTCCTCATTTATTGCTTATCATTGACCATAAAGAGCCGCCATTGATTTTATCATAACTGATATTCGTCCATCGACTGCCCCCGGCAGGACATCAGACTCGACCTCGAGACCCCGAAAAGGCAAGCTCGAGGCCCCGATTATCAGCTATTTTGTTTGATAACCACCTTGTTCTTAAGCTCTATCTCGTTTTCTTATCTCTTACTTAGCATCTATTGCCTAAAAAACTAGCATAAAAATAGATCACGTATTTTTAGAAACACGAAATCAAATCTAATTGTAATTACCATTTTCAAGGTAAACACACGTCGTTCGGCAGTTTGAGTCCATGAACAGCTTCACTTAAGGTATTATGACTTGTATGCGTAGTCGAAATTGAATTTCGGGAAGTTTGGAATTGATTTGGAAAGAGAATTTCCATTTCGGAAGCTTTAAGTTGAAAGAATTGGATGACCCGGGAACGTTTCGACGCCTATTGTGGAAGTTAGCATTTTTGGAAGAATTTCATAAATCTGGGTTGAAGCGCATTTTAGTGTTATCGATGTCCGTTAGGGATTCCGAGTCTGGGAATAGCTTCGTATGGTGATTCTGGTATTGGGAGCGTGATCGGAAGTGGATTCGGAGGTCCGTAGGTCATCTTGGAGTTGTTTGGCTAAAGTTAGAAATTTTAAAGTTTTTAAGAAGTTTGACTGGAAGTGGATTTTTTGATATCGGGGTCGGATTCCGATTCCGGAAGTTGTTGGTCCGTAATGTCAACTATAACTTGTGTGCAAAATTTGAGGTGAATCGGACGTGATTTGATGGGTTTTGACATCGAAAGTAGAAATTGAAGTTTCAAGTTCTTTAAGTTTGAATTGGGGGTTGATTCGTGATTTTAGCGTTATTTGGTGTGATTTGAGGGCTCGACTAAGTTCGTATGGTGTTCTAGGACTTGTTGGTATGTTTGGGTGAGGTCCCGAGGGTCTCGGGTTGATTAATGGTGGTTAACGGATCAAGGTTTGGAATGGAGGAGCTGCTGAAGTTGGAGGACTGCTGGTGTAATCGCACCTGCGGAGTGGGCACCGCAGGTGCAAGCCCGCAGAAGCGGGAATAAAGTCGCAGAAGCGGAAAAGGATTGGAGCAGGGGGAGTCGTAGAAGCGGACGTTTGGGCGCACCTGCAGGCGTGCAGGTGCGAAGGTGAAGGCCGCAGAAGTAGGGTAGGACGCAGATGCGAAGAAGACGCCGAAAAAGCGGAGCCGCAGAAGCGGCCAATGGACCGCAAATACGGAAATCGTCTGGGTAGAAAGGTTCTTTTAAAAGTCGGGAATGGGCCATTTTTCTCCCATTTTTCATTTGGTTTGGGCGATTTTGGAGAACTTAAAGGGGAGATATTCTTCAAGTATCACAAGGTAAGTTCTTCCCACTCATTATAAGTTAAATACATGATTTAGATACGGATTAAAGTATGGAAATTCGTAGAAAATTGGGGTTTGAGAAAAAACGTAGAAAATTGATATTCTCGGATTTTGACCACGATTTTGGATATGAAATTGAGAGTAAATTATATATTGAGCTCGTGAGGTTGTGGGTAAACTTTATCTTCAAAAAATTTCGGAATCCGGGCACGTGGGCCCGAGGGCGATTTTGTCAACTTTTCAAGTGGAGTTGGAAATTTATGTAAATTGAATTGTTATAAGTATTAGGGTATATTTTCATTGGTTTGCCCATTATTTGGCTAGTTTTGGGAGCGTTGGCATCGATTTGAGTCATCGGAAAGGCGTGGAATGCCGGTTATGGAACTTCGTAGCGAGGTGAGTCTCCTTTCTAACCTTGTAAGAGGGAATTGTCCCCATAGGTAAATTAATTGGATATGTGCTTTTATTTGTGGGGGTTACATACGCACGGGGTGACGGGAGTCCGTGCGTAGCTACTATTATGCTTAACTCTAGGTATTCTAGGACCCAAAAGCATGCTTTACTTGAAATAATTGTAACCTTATTGATAGTTTAATTTGCTTTAATCGTATCGAAGTGGTAAATGATTTTCCAAAAGAGTTAAATTTTGTTTTCTCGACTTGTAAAAGAGAAATTGACACCTCCTTGATTGTTTCCTTGATGAAGTCTTGATTGACTGTTTGAATATGTGTTTCTATGTGTACCTGCGTCGCATATATGATTCGCGAGCGGGGTGATTGCTTATTTATATTTTACCGCGTTGCATGTATGATACGCGAGCGGGGTAATAGATGCATCTATGGTTCGCGACATTCGACCCTCTGGCAGTGCACAGTTTAAATATTGTTGGATCGGGCCGTACGATCTCGGCATGATTTGCACATGCTTGTATGGCTTTCCTTGAGATTCATAGATGTTGATATTTGTTCTCCCTGGCCTGAGGTAAATGTATAAATGATGAAAATGAATTTGGAAATTCCCTATTAATAAAAGAATTGTTTACTTGCTTCATGCTATTGAGTTACAACTGTTTTTATATAAATCCTCGATTTGCTATGTTATCGGTATATTATTGGACCACTAGTAAGTATCGAAGCCGACCTCTCATCACTACTTCTTCGAGGTTAGGCGGGATACTTACTAAGTACACGTTATTTTTGTACTCATACTACACTTGCTGTGCATTTTTGTTGCACAGGCACATGTATGACTAGTGGTCTAGTTTGGCGCAGCGGCATGGTTGATACAGAGGCTTAAGTGAGCTGCACTTCTCGAGACGACCCGCAGTCAGCAGAGTCTCCTTCAGAGTACTATATTGTATTTTCTCTACTGTCCAATCTGTATTCCGGACGGTTATTGTATTATATTTTTCCTAGAAATTGCTCATGCACTTGTGACACCGGGTTCTGGGATGATTATGCGATTATTAAATATCAAGTTTGTTAAAGACCTCATTTTTATATCAGTGAATTTCATTATTTATTGTTTTATGTATAAAAGGAATGATTTCAAATATTAAAACGAGAAATTACTAGTTATTTGGTGTTGGCTTGCCTGACAGTGGTGTCCGGCGCCATCACAACCTTTAATGGATTTTGGGTCGTGACAGGTGATGTTTCTTGACATGATATTTCCCATATTTTTCGGGTACCCCGTCATAATAGAAGCCACAACAATTGGCCGGGAGACTGGGATATCACTGTCATGCTGGGATGGGTCTAGCCGGCTGCAAACAAATGTACACCACCCTTTCGCTTCAAAGCTCAGAGTGTTTCTAGCTATTTGGAACCCAGGTGTAAGCCAAGCCGGTGTTGTCCCGTGGATGGCTATCACCTCCGCGAGCCATGGACGGGCTGCCTCATCTAAAGCCACCTTCTCCAAGTTTAGGGATTTGTCCCCATCATCGAACCCGGCATATGTGTTCAGTTTCTTGCCATCAAATCTGATCTTCCTGTTCCGATCCTTAGTCACATAGGTGCCCTTTTTGATGTGGGCAACATTGGCGTAGAACTCTTTGACTAAGTGCCCATTAGCCTCCAGCATCTTACTGGTGAAGAATTTCCGCCCCACTCTTTCATCAAATTACCTCTTCATATTGGGATTGTAGAGTAGAAGATCTCTTTCTATGAATTGCCTCTCAAGGGTGAGCGACCTCTATGGCCACCATTCCCGGAATTTGTGGTAGGCTTTTTCACTGACAAATCGAAGCTGCCACACCTCCGATTTTCTTGACCTTTCCAATCCCCCAACAATAGTATCACCCCCTCTCCCATTATCCGGGACCTCGGTAGCATCAATATCAGTAGGGGCAGGGGCAGCTGGTGAGGCCGGAGTTGCAGCAGGTGGGGAAGATGATCCCGACGCCTCACTACCTTCCTCTGAGTCATTAGACGACTCAGTAGAGGAGGTGGGTACATCCACCAATCGAAATTTCTCCAGGAAATCTGGGACATGAGTAGGCACAGAGTCCCCTTCCGAAGTTTCTTGGGAAGGAACGTACTCACTCGTATCTGAGTGGTCCGCTGCTCTATCCGCAGCTTTTATTGCAGCTCGCATCTTTCCAATTGATTTTTGGACTGCTAGTGGTATCTTGGTTTTCCTTTTTCCCCTGCCACAGGAGGATTCTGCCCTCCCTTTAGGTTTATCGCTTCCACCTCTGGATCGGACCATTATCTGCATACACAATCATACAAGCTCATTAGTATTGTTGTTCAATGAATCATCAAAAGAAAGCTGATGAAATGATGACAGTGTTTCTTAAAGAAGGGGTTCGCTGACAGCGGAAAAAGGGGCGCGGCCGCGGAATGGACATCGCGGTCCGCGTAAAAAGGGACGCGGCTGCGAAAGACTGGGGATCAGACTATCCAGTCTCTGAAGTTAAGATACCCACTACTAGAAAATGGGCCTATGGCAACAGTTATCGTAGCAACGGCTAAGGAACTGTTGCATAGAGTGGATATTATAACGGTTACAACCGTTACAATAGCATTGGAACGATATCAGCACACATTAGCTATTATATCGTTCCTACTGCAACATAACTGTTGCCGTAGGGTTTTTTTCCATAATGATTTCGTGAACCGTCCCAATAAATCTGTTTACTGGAACGATTTTTGATTAAAATGTTACACCGGAACGGTTTTTTTCCCCCTCATATTTTCCTTAAATTTTTCTAAACCCGCCAAACCCCTATTTATTTTATTAATTAATATAAATTAAATAACAAAAACATTCCACTACTATCTCCCAATAAACCCATTCATCTCCCCAAACCCTATAACTCAAAGGCATCAACACCGTACCTCCAAAGCTCTCAACCCCTTTCATTGCTCTTTCCTTTCACCTTGAGAATTCCATCTATGGCTAACCCTAAATCTCCAAATTCTCAAATCAAATCGCTGGCCTAGCCCAAAATCTCCAAATCCCCGAAGTCTCAATCCATTTTTGTTATTCGAAGAAGAGAAGGCATCTAAGAAGAACAAAGGAAAAATCTAAAAGGCACGATTAAAGGTGAGAAAACTACTTCAATCGCGAGAAATTTTCGACCCAAAAGGCACTCTGTGAGAAACTAACTTCAGGTGTAAGTTTTTCTTTTCTAATTTGGATATTTATTTATTTAATCATTGTTTTTCCTTTAATTTCTTGATTTGATTGTAATATTATTCAAGAAAAGAAGAACGGAAAAATTCGGGGGCTAGACTTTGCTGTATTACTTATTTTTTAGGGTTATTTTTGAAGCAGAAAAATTAGATTTTTGTGGTCTTATTAGCTTTGTGTATCAGTTTATTTTTACCAAATGTTTAGGTGTTTATTTTTAGTTTCTGTTTTGTAGGGGAAGGGGGGGGGGGGGGGAGGGGGGGATAGGGTTTGGATAAATTCTTCATATCATTGGATGTGTGACTATGTGAGTACCTTGATTCAGAGTTGATTGATTCTGTAATGTTTGGTGCATAAGCACAGTAAAATTAAACAGTATAGAAGTGCTTGCTAATGTTATTGAGTTGGGTATTTGAACACATGAAGAATTGAACTGAAGTAAAGTTTGTTTGATGTGAAGTTATCTTTCTGTGGAAAGACTGCATGTAAGTCTTCCGTGTTAATGGACTATATGTTTTTGGATAAAAAAGCAAATTGACCCATGTACTGTATAACCAAGCACAGAAAGTTATTGAGAGGTTTACAATTCTTGAAATTTCTTAGTCTAAGTATGGTTCTTATGCCATCTTTTATATTGAAAAATTATTTTTAAGCTGTTTGCTTCTTGAATATTTGGCTTTAGAGTGTTGTTCTTTGATTGAATATTAAAAAGTTAGTTTGGTTCCATGTTTGTAAATTTATAATGCTATCTTAAACTTGATCATGCCTAATTGAATTCAAATTTAGCTGTTGAGTGTTACTTGATAGGTTAGCTGACATTGATGGATAAATCAACCCTAGACATATTTGCAAATTGCAATACGCTGCCATAAATTTAGGACAGCGTAGTGGCTAGAGAAAACCAGAACAATGATGGGAAAGCTAGAGTCATCATTGGTAAGAAGAGTTGTGTCACTCAAATGGTCATAAAATTTAGGTGAGGACTACTAAATTTGTGGAGCAATTGGGAATTTTTTGGTAGGGTAGGCATAACAGCTTAAGTTTCTCTTAGAATACTATTTTAAAGTATAAGACAATAAAAGAGAGTACTTGCACAGAGTATTAGAGTTGATTGTTAACAACATACAGGAGGCTTTTTATACAAAAGTTTAGGCTATTAAAGATGAGAAATTTTTTTCCAAATATCAGGGTACCTAATTATTACAATAGTTGTTTGATGGGGGAAAAAGATCCTATTACTACTTATATGAAATACAGATGTATTTAAAACTTTAGTACTTTGGCTGAATGATTTTTTTGGTAAATAGCATAAAAGATATCCTGGACTTGTTGGGCTTCCTTATTTTGTTTAAACAAGTCCAGATTTTGTGCTATTTTTGGTATCTTCTTGGTACTGTTATTGCATACAAATACATCACCTTATCAAGTAAAAGATATATCACAATTCAGAAGAATATCCTATAGTATTAACCTATATGCATAGAGTAATTCTTGAACATTCTAACATATACTTACGACATTCTCTTAACTTTCATTGGCTTGTACTACTAAATTAGTTGCTAAGAGGTTTTTAAGGAAGGAATAATTATTTGCTGGTTCAAGTGAGGAGTTAGAGAAAGGTTGACAAGCTTTAAAGAAATTATACACATACATGAATAATAGTCCGGTCAGTCGTGTGTTTACGTCCGTGTTTAGCTTTTGGATAGTGAGGATTTGTGTGGCATGCCACAACTAGCTTGAGGTTGAGATTATTGTTGTATATTGCTTTTGGATAAATTATTCTACTAAAAAGCCTTCACTATGACATGCTTATGCTAAAGTTTTATTATCTAGAAAAGAGATTTGTTTTTCCTTTTAGGTAGCTTTCATGTGTTCTTCAGTGGCATCCTTAAGTTTTCTGATTAAATCTTGAATTTCTTTTGTTTTCCAGTAAATTAGTTTCTCCTTAATGGACAATTCCTTATTTATTTTGAAGTTGATAACCCTTTTGTTTTCCAGTAATTTAGAATGTTTGACTGCTCTCAATTTGCCTAAATATATATGTTTACAAGTTTGGTTTTGATGATTTAGATTTGTTACTTAACTTTGGCTTCTTCATTTGTGTTAACTTGTTTCTTTCTCTCTGTTGGATTTGTTACATGCAACTGACTATAATACATTTGAAAACTTTGTGCTTTATGCATTGTTCATGGACCATACCCATTCTTATAATGATAAACTAACCCTTGAGGGGTGATGATTTTATTTATCCTCTTTTGTAGGTGGAGCAATTGAAGAAAGGGAAGATGGACATAGTGAAGATCTAGACCTTACTTAAGAACTTTGAATTGTTGTCGATGTTGTAGGAATCTTTTGTTATCAACATTTGAAACTTACTCTAACTCTTGAAGTGTTGAAATGTAAAACTAATGTGATTGGGTTAAAACATTTTGATTTTATGGATATATTAGCTTATTGGACAATATAGATTATGAAGTGTTTTATCTTTTTATTTATATAAATTTCAGGTTATTACAAATTTTTATATATGTAAATATTCATTTACAACCAGAGCATAATATTCTAATAGAACTGTTGCAATAATCTTGCAAACTGTTCCAATAGGTCTTGCAAATCGTTCCAAAATGTGCAACAAATTGATGCAATAGGTAGTTAAAACGGATGGAATAGAAATAAAACCGTTACAGTAGCGTAATGAAACCGTTAGAATATCTCTAAATAAACGTTGCAATAGCTTACATAACTGGTGCTATAAATTATATGGCAACGGTTTCCAACCGTTGTAGTAAATAATATGGTAAAACAATTTTCAGCCGATGTAAACTCTATGGTAACGGTTTTTAACCGTTTCGACAGAATAGAATACTCGTTGCTTCAGGCAGAGGAAAAATCGTTGTGATAGATTGCCCTATTGCAACGGTTTGGATAACCGTTGCAAGATCCGTTACTCTAGATCTATTGGCACGCGAGCGGGTGTAACGACCGCTAAATCGTTCCAATAACTCTATGGCATCGGTTTAGCTGTCTGTTGTAACGATTTTACGGCCGTTGCCATAGGCTGATTTTTCAGTAGCGACCGCTGTCACACCTCTTTTTCGCCACACCCTTATTACGTGGTTGAGTTAGAAGAGTTTTCCAATTAAAGTGACGTTTTGAAAAGGGATTATTTATTATTTAGAGCCGCCACTTGGAATTGAGTTTTGGTGTTGCAAGTCACCTTTTATTGGAATCCCATTTCAAAAGGAATGTTTGACTCTTAATTATGGTCTATGAAATAGAAGACTGAGTAAGGAATTCTGTTGACCGAGGGGAAGTTGTAAGGCACCCCTCGAGTCCCGTGGGTCTAGCACGGTCGCTTTTATTGACTAATGTAAGGCTTAAATCAATTCTTGACTATTCTTGTATTTTATTGGTTATGGCTTGTCTATTACCACTTCACTTAATATATTTTTATTAATTGTTTGGACCCAGATGCGATATGCACACGAGGTATTTCTTTGAAGTTAGATGTTAAACCAAGGTACGGAATATACACATGGTTAAAAACATAATTATTTTAAATTTAAAGGCATCGAGACGCGGGAATGCGTACATGACCCTTTTATTGTTTAAGCATATTAATCCAAGGTTCGGGTATGAACACATGGGCTAATATTGAAAAAGCGTCTAAACTTTTCTAATATATTTATAGTTATTTTCCTAAACTAATTTGAGATTGTGGTGATGTCATGATTTGTGGATATGGAATTGTTGAAGAAATAATGTGATTTAGCTTTTATAATTATTTTGGCGAATTAGATTTCCTAACATAAAATATTTATTTTTTCCAAAATTTATCCAAACCCCACCGCCAAAATTTTCCTTTGGACATACAATTTGTGTATTTATGGAAACCAAATGAAAAAAAAGGAAAATGGAGCAATTAGGTAAAGAATAGTAACCATCATACTTGTAAAAATACCAGTTCTACATCAGATCTTGCTGCTAGATTAAAACATTTACAGTTAACAAGAATTTACAAGCACTTCTGGAACAAGCACAAACTTTAGCCAAGAATTAGGTAAAAAAAAAATCCAAACTTTAAAGAAGAACAAAAGTTATTTAAAAAAAATAAATAAATAAAGCTTTTGAAGATACACCAAGAAAATTATGAAGAATAAGAAGAATAAAGACTTACATATTTGCCATTAGAAAAGTATCGCCAAAGGCAGCAGCTTTTACAACAATTTTGTTCCTAAGACAACACTCTGTTCTTGAGCTTATGTATTTCAACGATTCAACTAGGCCTTTCCGGAAACTCGATCAGCAACCTCGTCGGAGAAAAATGGTTAGAGGACCTCGACTCGAAACACAATCCTACGATGAACTCGACTCAAAAAAAATGAAGGCAGCTTGGAAGTGTTTTCAATTAAGTATTTTTTTTGCTATGGTGTAATCATGGTATCTAGATCTTGGTCAAGAAGGAAAACTTATGAAGATGTTGGCATGAAGCTTTTTTTTTTACAATGAAAAAAGGAATTCTTTCCAGTCTTGCGGCGCTGAAACTTAGCAAAGAAAAAGATCCCTCCTTTTCGTGTTTTCTGTATTTGTCCGTTCTCTCTATTTTTATCGCCTCAATTTTTGTTCTCCCCCCCCTCCTTTATAAAGAAGAATGAGGGGTTATTTAATCTTGTCCCTAATTTTGAGTGGGAACGTAGGAAATAAGCAGATGGAAATGTGGGTATAAATGTGTGATCATGGGTGAAGTGGGGAAGTTGGGAGTTATTTTTTTTAACTCTTCCTAACCCTTTTTTTTAAATTAAATAAAAGAAGATAAAACACACACACACACTTACACACACACACTTACACACACACACACACACACACACACACACATATATATATATATATATNAAAAATATATATATATATATATATATATATATATATATATATATATATATATATATATATATATATTGTAACGACCCAACCGGTCGTTTTGAGCCCTAGCGCGTCGTTCAGCAGTCTGAGGCTATGAGCAGCTTCAATTTAGGGATTTCGACTTGTACGCGCGGTCGGAATTGAGTTTCGGGAAATCCGGAGTTGATTTGGGTAGAGAATTCTTATTTCAGGAGCTTAAAGTTGAAAGAATGAACTACGATGGGAATTTTGAGCAAACGACCTCGGAATCAGGATCTGAAGGTTCCAGCAGGTTCGTATGATGATTTCGGACTTGGGCGTATGCTCGGTTCGGGTTTTGGATAACCCGGGAGCGTTTTGGCGCCTATTGTGGGAGTTAGCATTTTAGAAGAAATTTCATAAGCTTGGCCTGAAGTGCATTTCAGTGTTATCGATGTCCGTTTGGGATTTCAAGTCTGTGAATAGCTCCGCATAGTGATTTTGGAGTTGGGAGCGCGATCGGAAGTGAATTCGGAGGTCCATAGGTCATTTTGGAGCCATTTGGCTAAAGATAGAAATTTGAAGGTTTTTGAGAAGTTTGACCGGAAGTGGACTTTTTGATATCGGGGTCGAAATCCGATTCCGGAAGTTGCAGTAGGTCCGTAATGTCAAATATGACTTGTGTGCAAAATTTGAGGTCAATCGGACGTAATATGATAGGTTTTAAGCATCGAAAGTAGAAGTTGGAAGTTCTAATGTTCATAAAGCTTGGATTGGGGGTTGATTCATGATTTTGGCGTTGTTTGATGTGATTTGAGGCCTCGACCAAGTCCGTAATATGTTTTGGGACTGGTTGGTATGATTGGTTGGGGTCCCGGGGGCCTCGGGTGGATTCCGGATGGTTAACGGATCGAAATTTGGATTTTTGGACAGCTGAAGGAATCTGGTTGCTGGTATTTTCGCTTCTGCGGTGGGTTGACCGCAGAAGCGGCACGGCAGAAGCGGACAGGGAGCCGCAGAAGCGGGTTTTGGACTAAGGCTTGAGGACCGCAGATGTGGTCAAAGTACCACAGAAGCGGGACCGCATCTGCGGAGAAAGGGTCGCAGAAGCGGATGGGAGTATCTTGGAGAGGACCGCAGATGCGGTCAAAGTTCCGCAGAAGCGGGACCGCATCTACGGGTGGCAAGTCGCAGAAGTGAGAAAGGGGTGACTCAGGGAAGACCGCAGATGCGGCATTTTAACCGCACCTGCGGAACCGCAGAAGCGGCCAAGGAACCGCATGTGCGGAAGCAGCTGAAGCAGTGAGGTCTTTTAAGTTCGATGGGGAGCAGCTTTGAGGTGCCATTTTCGTCACTTGTCATGAGGTAAGTAATTTATGCTAGCTTGGAGTTAAATACAATGTTTATATATGGATTTAGACTTGGAAAATTGTATAAATTTGAGGTTTTGGTGGAAAACCTAGAAAATTCTTGGGATTTAGCCACGATTTTGAGTATGGAATTGAGAGAAAATTATATATTTGAGTTCCTAAGGTCATGGGTAATCTTTATCTTCGAAAAATTCCGGATTCCGGGCACGTGGGCCCGAGGGCGTTTTGGTCAACTTTTTGATCGGAGTTAGGAATTTGCTATAAATTAGTTTGTAATGAATATTTGAGCATATATTAATGGATTTGCGTAACCGTTGGCTAGTTTTGGAGCATGGTGCATCAATTGGAGTCCCCGGAAGGGCGTGGATTGCCGGTTATGGATCTTCGGAGCGAGGTGAGTCTCCTTTCTAACCTTGTAAGAGGGAATTGTCTCCATAGGTGAAATAATTGATTATGTGCTCCAAATTGCGGGGGCTACGTACGCACGAGGTGACGAGAGTCCGTGCTTAGCTACTATTATGCTATTGTCCGGGTAGTTAGGACCCACAGCATGTTATACTTGGATTATTTATGAACCCATTGATAGCTTGAATTGCTTATATCACCTTGGATTAGTAAATGAATTTAAAAAGAGATTAAACATCATTTTCTTGAATTGTTAAGAAGAGAAATTGTTTTATTTGGATAAATATTCCCGATAAGTTCTTAATTGACTGATTGTGCATGTATCTCTATGTGTACCTGCGTCGCATGCATGATTTGCGCGCAGGATATGTGTTTATTTATGGAACGGGCCGAACGCCTCGGCAGATTAAATAGATGGATCTATAGGCGCGCCGTCGACCCTCGACAAGTGCACAATTTATTTCTGTTGGATCGGGTCGTCGCCTCGGTGTGATTTGCGCATGTTATATTGTTGCTTGAGAACTTTAAATGGGAAATTTGCCCTTCGTGTCTTGATACAAATTGATAAGATAATAAAGAGTAAACTTTGAAAATCCTTGATTATTTGTTGAAGGTGTTTATCTTTTTCTGGCTTCGTGAATTAGAACTGCTATATAAATCCATGATTTCCTCACATTTTTAGTATATTGCCAATTAACCTCTAGTAAGTGTCGAAGTTGACCATCTCGTCTCTACTTCTTCGAGATTAGGCAGGATACTCATTGAGTACACGTTGTTTACGTACTCATACTACAGTTCTGTGCATTTTTATTGCACACGTATATTTACTTCTAGCAGCCCACTGGGCGTAGCAGCGCGGATGATTTAGGGGCTAGGTGAGTTGCATTATTCGAGGCGGCCCGCAGCTAGTATAGCCCTCTTTGGTACATTGTATTTATTTCCTGTCCATTGTATTCCGGACGGATGTTGTATTTTATTTCCTTATCAGTAGATGCTCATGCACTTGTGACACCGGGTTCTGGGATGGTTTGAAGTATTGTATTAACTGCTTATCATTTAAATTTGATTGAGACTATATTCTTTAAAATTGCTAAACTTGAAGGAAAAAATCCTAGATTTCAAAAGTAGTAAAACGAGATTTTGATTAAGTAATTCGGTTGGCTTGCCTGACAGCAGTGTCCGGCGCCATCACGACCCTTAGTGGATTTTGGGTCGTGACATATATATATCAACCAACTTACTTTTAGACTTAAAGAAACTATATAAATAAGAAAACTCACTATTTACACTAAAGTTTAAATTATACTAAGGAAAATACTACTATAACTTATATTTAAATTAGAAGAAACCAAGTTTTCTATATATATATATATATATATATATATATATCTTCTATTTAAACATAGGAAAAAATCTTATATTCTAAGAATGTGAATATTTTTTGTAGTTTTTAATTTTCTTAAATAAAACCTATTAAAAGTAAGATAAAAATTTAAAATATTAAGATTTAGACCTAAAAGAAATTTACACTAAAATAGTATAGAATTTGGGTGGGGTCAAAAAATTAGTTGTTCACAACATGTCCCTCTTTGCTTGGAAACATGAAGAGTTTTCAGGCAAAGAAAATGAACAAGGTGACTGATTTTTGACCTCACTATTATTTGAAAAGGAAAAGAAGAGAAAAGAAAAAGATGTGACCGAGCCTTGGTTTTAGGCAGCCTACATATCCCGGGTTATAAGGGAATCAGGTCACGTGTAGTTCAAGTGAAAGAAGAGTGACAGAGTATTCTCAGAAGGAGAGTCGAGCGAAGGTCCGTCGAAAATCCTAAAGTTTGCCTACCCAAATGTGGTCGGCCTAAACATGCTCCTATCGACTTTAAGGAAATAAATAAACAAAGTAAAATAATGAACATGTTCAACTAAAATTTCTTTCAACTTTTAATGCCCAACCCCTCGACCTCATACGAACAATTCATAGTTTGTTCTTTTAACATTCTATTAACTCCATGTGACATTCAACCAAATAACATGAAACACAAAACTATCAAGCTAATAGATATGATCACACATGATCAGTAGCCTAAATTAATGAAGCTAAATGGTGCAAACATAATATCATTCCATCAAGACAAAAAGTTCCTAAAGCAGAATATTATCGACACAACCGTAAAACAATGATAGCAAAAGTAAAAAATTTAAACAAAAACTCAGAAGCAACTTTTCGAAATAATTTAAAGGTAAAATATGTCAAACTTCGAGATATCTACCCAAAACCAAAGTTAAAATTTATATTCTCAGATATATCAAGTGGAAGACTGAACATAGTTATTGATAAAGAAATATTAGTGAGTTCCTGATTAATGAACTTAGGATCTACAGATGTATTAATAGAAATATACTATTATTTTTTCACCTACATATTATATTCAAACATTAATTTAAGTTATTATTAAGTAATACATTCTGCGCTAAACGTTATCAATTCAACCTGGACAGAACTTAAAATAGTTGCTAAGAATAAAGGATTATGGGAATTTAACTTATTAAAGAAAACAATTCAAGACCTTGAATATTGAAACTCCCAGGTGGATCGTTAAACTTGAGTTCTCATGGTGAGTATATTAAAGACAAACACTAATGATAAGAGAAACTTTGATATTGCTTTGAAGCCTTAGGCGTACGAAATTCCTTAAACAAATCAAATGTCATCTCACAATTTCAACTAGACAAATTGAACAAAATCATTCCATGGTTTCTATAGAAATCAAACAGAAGTTAAACTAAGACTAACCGGCCAATACCAAGCTTAAGAATAAAAATACAAATCACAGAAAATAATAAGAGAGGAAAAAAGATGAACCTGAAATAGCAAACAAATTCTAACAGACCCGGGACCTCGGACTCCCGAACGACGACTGGAAAAGCTTTTGATTCCAAACTCCAAAATAAAAAATACTCAAACGAACTCCTCCCCTTTTTAAAGCTTTTTACTCTATATATATGCATACGTAGGAGTTGAGGATCAAGATG